AAGGTCAATTCATCAGCATGACTCAACAATCAGAAATATCTACGCATCTAACAACAGAGCCCTAATTACAGGAAACAAAAATTGAGAGAATTAAAGGGACAAACCGGTAATTCCACAATAAATGTTAACACTCTCTTTGCAGCAATTGTTAGAATGAGACAACAACAACAAATCAGTAAAAACAGAGATGATCTGAATAACACCATCCACTACCTTGATACTGATATTTCTAAAACACCATACGACCAACAACTGCAGAATGCATATTCTTTTCAAGTGACACTGACCAAGGGAGACCACATTCTGGGCCAGAAAATCAAGATCAGAACAAGGATAAAAAACCCCACTGTAAACTGCTACATTGCATTGCTTCTCTTAAAAAAAAACCCCCAAAACCCCCAAACTTTTGGGGAAAGTAAAAGCAACTCTTCTTTCCGCAAAGGTGATAGGCGATGCTTACTTAAATTTCAGGTACTCAAAGAATATGCAAACACTGGGAAACAAATAAAATCAACAAACATAATCACTTTGTTAAGGTTGTACGAACAGCCTTAGAGAACCCAAAATTAAAGATAATTAAGAGTGAGAGTATTCATATACTCAATACAGTTTTTGAAAGTCGCTGTTAGGATTTATTTAAATCTCCATGTAGGAATTTAATTATGATCATTCAAATGCTTTATTCTATTCAATTCTAATTCTTAGGTTGCTTCCTTTTTGAAATCATTTTTCTACTATTTCTACTAATCTTATTTTGAGGCTACAATGCCTAAAGGAAAGTCCCTAAGGAAAAGAGAAAGCTCAGAATCAATTTCCATAGCAACTCTAAATCCATCACACTATATTTGTATATGGGAGTTTGATTTCAATGCATTAATATATGTGGATTTGCAACATGTCTAAGCCGTGGTTGCTATAGGAACCGCAACCTCAAATTTCGTTTTAAGTTTAGTTAAGTGCTCACACATAAAAACTGATCCCGCTGACAGCTATCTCGAGTTGCAGATATGGCTCATAGCAATAAATTTATAAACATCATGACTCACGATGACATATGCACTTAATAGATATCTGTCATTATAAAAATGTGTATTTTAACATATGCTCCTTGTTGGGAGATCAAAAGCAATTCAAGATGCAATTCCTCAGGATGTAGATAGAATAAGACTTGCCAGGCAGCCATCCACCCTTAGCGACAGCCTCTGCTCATGCTGAAGCTTGTTACGGCCCAGGTAAGTCACCCAGACTTACACACAGACACGGGTTCACACAGACACGGGTTCTATGGCTTCTCTGAATCCACGGAATACTGGTGTCTATACTGAAATGGCAGAAAAATCTAGCACGTTTTATAGTCAGGACATGCAAATGACTTTTAATATTAGTTTAAGGATATATTTGGAGAGAGATAAAGCCACTGCAAAATGAACCAAATATCCCAAAGCCAAAAGGAAAAAATAATTAAAGACCATCTCCTGTTTTCGATTACACCAGACGTTGCTTGTTTCCACTAATACAGATGATTAACGGCCAAGGCCTAGAGATGGGCACAGAAATTACTGCTGAATGCTACTGACCTGGCATCACTGGGAGATGACTGGCATAGATATGTGAATTTCCCAGACAGCTGACCCTCACCTCATCAATCAAGCACTTTAATCTGTCTTAAATTTTGGATGGACACAATCAGACTTATGTACGACGAGGATGGTCTCGAATGGTTTCAGACCAGAGGCAGACAGGCTAGTTTAGAGACTGTAAAATAATTCATGGGAGAGATGATTATAAATAGAAAATTAAAATCTTAAGGATTAGAAGAGAACTCTGAGTGTATCGATTAGTACATGCTGGTGTCACACAGATCTTGAGGGCTACTGAGAGACACGGAGCTCTTTCATTCAGCAATAGAGATCTCAGGCTGCTGGACTATTTATAAGGTTTCATTAAGAGTTTTTGGCTCTTCTTTGACTGATGTTCACATTTTGTAGTGCTATCAGTATACTCCTTGCCCTAATAAGATACACGCTGAGAAACCATATCCCCATGTTTGTTATAATTATATCCAAGTCAAGAAAGAGCAAATAAAGGGGGGTCGAGAAGTACAAGTTTCCAGTTATAAACTAAATAAGTCATGCGGGTGTAAAGTACAGCATGGGGAATACAGTCAATAATATCGTATTAACTTTGTATGGTACAGATGGTAACTGGAATCATTGTGGTGATCATTTTGCAATGTGTACAAATGCCAAATCACTACGTTGTACACCTGAAACTAATACAATGTGGTGTGTCAATTAGATGTCAATTTTAAAAATAAATAAGTATATATAAAAGAAAGAGCAAACAGACTCTGGGTAAGTATTCTAGGAACTCTCCCTTGTGGAAAGAGTAAAGTGTATGAATTTTATAGCACAGATTTTACAACACCTATTCTGACTTTTAGAAGACGTTCTGGCTCACACTTTCTTGGCTGTTTTCCCAAGAGTTGGATACATGACCTCTAGAAAAAAATGAGGTCTCACTGTATTTATAGGAGCCTTTCTCCTATTATAGCTTTTAAAACAATGTTCTACATGTGATGTATACCTTGCTAGAATTTTTTCAGTATAGTTTTACTACCCCACCATGTCCAAGAGTCAGAACATGTCTCATAAAAAACCGTATGACTGGTTTGACTTCTGGAAATATCCTTCCTCCTTGATTAAGACCAATGAGGTAAACATGGTCGAGGTATCAGGAACACAAGCCTTGGCAATACTGTCTTCCAGAACATTAAAAACCAGATTTATGATCTGCTGACTTTAATGTGTTTCCTGAGCTTTGTCACCGGAGAAGTTAAGCTCTGGAAACAACGTATTTCTTTTCCAGGTTCATGGACATTCTTTCTATCAAAATGGCACAAGTTTCTCTGTGGCTTTTGTGAAAGACAGATGAGGGAATTCCTTGAAAATGAGGCCAAGGCAGCATAATGACAGTTCTGTTTGGGGGCGGGGTGGGGTTAGAATGGTTGGTGCCAATTTAAGGACACGTTATGACTGTAGAAGAAAAATGTTCTGAGGCCTGTCCGGTTCCACTGCTGAAAACTTGAAAAAGTAGCAGCTGAGTTTCAAGATGAATCTGTACATCATTAGCAGCTGCAGAAAAAGAGCTTGCGGTGAGAGCTACCAGCTGCTCTTGGTTTCCCTACCTTCCTGTCCCCCAACTCCATCTGCCTGTGTCTCCCCAGCTCTGAAGGAGACACACCACTCCCCTTCTCTATCCTGGTCCTAGAATAATGACACTTTCTGACAAAAGCTGAAGGCCTGTTTGAACTGCAATAAACTTTTGTTCCCCAAACTCCCTGTGGCTTCATTTTTACCCAAACTCTTCCCAGCACTTCTGTTCTGAAAAAGGTAAACATTCCCTTTCCTCGCCAAATCTCTTTCGATGCCCTTGACCCCATTTTTTCCCTCCAGCCCCAGGGTCATTGTTCCACCAGTTTCCCCTCCTTTTTCCTATTATTCCTTCTCACGGACCTTTCTCCCATCTTACAAACCTGCTCCTTGTGCCGTGTCCTAAAAGCAAAGAAAATCAAATCGAGGACAATACCGTTCTCTCCCCAAGCTTACTTCCTAAAGCAACTGTCAGCTTTTCCCCCGACACCAACAAGGTGTTTTTATTTCCTCCACTTATTCTCCTGATTTGGTGAAGGTGGAATCTCCTCTCGCATCACTTTCACGTTTGTGTGTCATGCCCTTGTTAATAAGCCGCTGCCATCTAGGTGTATGGATTCAGCATTTCTACAGACCAATTCTCTAAAGAACTCTTAATCACCTCCCAGGAGGCAGATTTCTTTCTTTGGCCTATTTTCAGGCTTCATCCTATCTGATCTCTCCAACAATTAATACTCAGCGCTGTTGGTGATCCCTCTTTCTAAAAACGTCCTACTGTTTGTTCTCTGATGTTGAGCTGGTTTTTCCCCTGATGTTCCTCCTTTTCTCAGCTTCCTCTTTTTCCTCTTGCCTCTTAAATGTATGTATTCCCAAAGATCTGTGCTTCGTTTAAGCGTATTTATTCTATGGCGTTGAAGTTGGATTTTTATGCTGTCTCAGTTTCCTTTCTCCAATTCCTCAGCCCCCTCCTGGACCCATCATTCCACTGAGTGACCCCAAAGGACCCTTCCAGTCCTCGTTGTACTTGACTCCTCAGCAGATTTAGACACTGGTGACCGTTCTGCTCCCTTCCTTCTATTTCCCTGACACGTCATTCCTTCATTTCTTTCAATCTTTCTGGTGTCTTCCCTGGTCCTATGTAAGCCCTTCCTTTTCTACCAAAACATTAAATGTTCGAGTTCCTCAGGGACTCTACCCTTCTCACTGGGGACTCACTTCCAGCTTCAATTACCTGGATATGGAAGACTCACCAATGTTTACCTCTAGCCGACACTTCCTTGAGTTCCAGACACATGTCCACACAGTTTAGTATTAGTCTTGTTATAATCATTTCTAATAATTCTCATTGGAAGTTGGGCATAAATAAGGAATTTGCATTCTTACAGAATTAAGGCTGTTGACTTAACAAGTGTGAACACTGGTGTTCAGGATGGAAACACATGGTTTCTGAGGATTTCATCGTTTAACTCTGCAGTATCACAGCTGATGTTTATACTAATGACCCTCATCGGACAAGAACACATTCTGCTTGGTAAAGTCTGTTTTCTACACAAGAATGTTTGTAATGTATTTTAGAAAGATTTTTCTCTAAAATAGTTAAAACATTTTTTAAAGTTCTAGGTATTTATCCTCAGTGACTTCACTTTGGGATGAAGTTGGCTAAGTGAGGTCTTGCTGAATGTTGTCACATAGAAATTGGCACTGCCCACATGGGAGACAGGATGGATATTTCATGAATTTCCTCTGAAGGATTATAGAAGATGATCCATATTTAAAAGTGTAAATCGGTTCTTAGTACGGCGCAGGAGGGCCTGTGAAAGTGACTCTAGGATTTCATTGTTACGGTACCTGCTGTCGGGGAGTTTGCATGGTGAGACTTCTTGGGCAGGTTGAAGATCTGTTCGCCGGGGTCGGGAGGAGGAATTGCATCTTGCCCTTGTCGTGCTTCTACGGGGTCATACTCCTTGCCATCGTAGTTAGCATCATAGAACTTCTTAAACCACTGAATAAAATCCAGGTTGTCCTGGAAACGCCCTTTCACGAGCTTTTCCACTGGAATTACCTGCAATATAAAATCACCTGGTGAGTCACGACCCTCAGCCTTGTTTGTATTGAATACAACTGAAGTGTTCCCTAAATATAACTTTACACCTGCAATTCATGTCTGCTGGCCTCTCCCCCAGTGTCTTAGCCAGTGGTACTCCAGAATTCATATAATTTTTCATTATATTAAAGAAAAATTAAAATGTCGTAGTTGGTTCTCCTGGAATATTTAATACATCTGAACAAACCATACGAAACAAGGAATACCCTGAGCTGTCAAGAGGGGCTGACCCTCTTCGTAGAATGTTTATTGCCAAAGCATATCCCCCCCAAAACATGGGTCTGGGATGTTGTGCTGTTTCAAGGTTGAAAGGTTTTCCTTATTTCTTTGTAACACTTGGTCTAGCTGTGTTGGAATAAGCTCTTAAAAGGACTGTAGCTATTAGAGAGTACGAATGAATAAGACTCAAGTCAATGAAAACTCACACTAATCTAACGGTTCCTATGAAACAAAATGAGCTTTCATGGAGTGTCTTTACAATGTAGAGAGACAAGCATAAAATAAAAACAACTAACCACAAAACAGGGCTCAGTAATTCATGGGTTACACTGGAACATAGTTAATGTGCCAGGGGGGTACACGTCTTAAACAGGTTTCTTTTTGTATTTTGTAACTATCTTATCAAGACTGGGTGTAAATTAAGTGTTTTTAAAGGGCAGTCTAAAGAGCCAATCAGTATTCCCTTTCGAGGTCTTTTCATTGTACTATTTAAGTATTTTCATGTTTTCTGACTTATAAGTTTTGTTTATGCTGGTATTGTGATAGTTTTAGAAAGTGCCTTCTTGGAGCATAAGGCCCTTTAATTAACATGCTACTATATTTTGCTCTCTGCCAAACGTGAACATTTATAAACAGTTTTAGATGATGATGATGCATTAGCCATTCAAAGCAGGCACTTAACTTCTGCTGACTTAACTTAGCAATTCCTATCAAAATGAAAGTTCCGGGGTCATAAGTTCAAAATCTGAGGTGGCGAGGAAATATTTGTACATGTGCTTCCCACGTGCTGTCACAGGCTATGACAAACATGAACAGGGATCACTGTCTCTATACCAGGATCTTTGGGTAGAATCATAGCATATTAAGCTAGAGAGGCCAACAAAGGTCATAAAGGTCAGTGTTCCTCCAGTACAAGAATTTTATCTTCAAATTTCTTTTTTTTCTTTTTTTGGGCCACACCGTGGCTTGCAGGATCCCAGTTCCCTAACACAGGATTGAACCTGTGCCCTCGGCAGTGAAAGCTGGGAGTCCTAACCACTGGTCTGCCAGGGAATTCCCTATCTTCAAATTTCTTAACAATGGCTGACCCACTCTCGAGTGTACACTTCTACGGAGATATGGAGTCCCCAACTTTGTTACATAGCAAGTTCCGTCAATAAACCTATGAATGGGTGTTTCTTTCCTTTTTGATGTAGAAACATGTATAGAAAAATGATACAGAAGTGTACAGAGAAGTGATGCTAATAAGGAAGAAGAATCTATATAACTCTGGTTTTGAATAAATACAGAAGGAGCTAATTGGAAATTAAGCACAGCAAAGGATATCAAGTTGAAAAGGAGTCAAAAAATTAAAATATTAAAGAGGATATATGTTTTGCAATAAAAATTGTGAGAAAATGAGAAGCCAAAATTTTCTTAATATTTTGATAAGAATGCTTTGATTTAGGAAGATATTAATTGCATAAATTAAAAAATATATACAGTTCAGCAAACTTTTCTTTCCTTTTTAACCTCTATCTCTTATAACCCAAAATTTAAATTTTTTTTTTTTTTTTTTTTTTGCGGTACGCGGGCCTCTCACTGCTGTGGCCTCTCCCGTTGCGGAGCACAGGCTCTGGACGCGCAGGCTCAGTGGCCATGGCTCACGGGCCCAGCTGTTCCGCGGCATGTGGGATCTTCTCGGACCGGGGCACGAACCCTTGCATCGGCAGGCAGACTCTCAACCACTGCGCCACCAGGGAAGCCCCCAAATTTAAATTTTTATTTCCATAGCCTATTTATTGCTACTATCTATGAAAAGAAAACTTTCTATTTCTCCCCTGCTGTTTTTTCTCTTTTCCCTTATTCAAAATTCATTTCTTTCCAAACTATTCACTCCAAGAGCTATATCCTAAATAAAGACTATGAACGTAATATGTACTTGAATAGCAGGAAACATGCAGAGCCTGAAGGGGCTTCAGCAATAGTCCTCTATGGGGGAAAAAGGACTCTAGTCTAACTTCATTTGTATCACTCTAGAATAAAATTATGAAGTTCAAAGTGGGTGAAAGAATATTTTATGGACATTGAGTGAGAATCTGAGTGTATATACTGGACACTTTAACATGCAGTCCTCGCTTTAATTTCATAACCACAGGGAAGGGGGTTTTAGTCCCATTTTACAGATGGGTAAACTCAGACTCAAATAATTTAAATAACTTGCTCAAGTCATGGTGCTGGGATTCAAACCCGTGCCATTTCTACCGTACTATGCTATTTCTTTAAAGAAACAAAACACTCAAAGAACCACAGTGGCATCTGGCAAACATAAAAATTTCTCATCTGCAATGCTAATACAGAATAGCAACATTTCAGCATTCATAATTTCTGTTAGCGTTTTTAGTCTAATGGCTACAAGTTTAGAAATCTCCTCAAATAAAAACCTCATGCAAATATGGGAAGTGAGGGTTGGCGCTTTATGCCCAGTACAGGACCCAACCTACTATAGTGATGTCAAGATATATCCCATTGACACATTTTTGGATTTTTGCATCTCTGCATAAAAACCATTTTAAGCAAAGACAATGCATTTTATGGAGGTACAAGTGTGTCTCCTACCTTATCAACATTCATTCGCTTAAACGATGCTTGCAGAAGCTTAAAATTGTGAATGTACTCATGTTCCAACTTCGCTTGAAATTTTACTTTCTTCAAACTAATGCAACCAGGAAAGAGCATGTCCATGAACTGGCAGTAGGCTGCTCCTGGAAAGAGACAAGAAAAGGACCAGTGTGAGTCTGACTGTACCACGTGCGACTGAGGGTTGCTGGGCAGGAGGGAGCTGGGAGCCCAGAGCCCTCAGCCCTCCTGCCGTGTGTGCTCCTCTCCTCATTGCACCCACATCTCCTCATCCACCAGGGGAGGGTGCTGGTGGGCAGGGATGTGCCTTGATGCAGCTCCTGCCACTTCCCCATCCCTAACCACTGTGATACCGACGCTGTTCACCAGAGCATCACCAGATTCCACAAACAGTGAACAGAACTTCATTCTTCAACACCAAGGAAATCAGCGTATGAACAACTCTTCTTAGCTTCTATCAGAAAAAAAAGGAACATATTTTTCCTTCCATCTAGCTGCTACTGGCTCCAAATCATTAAAATACATAAGAGAAAAATAGCAGCAAATTTCAACATGAGCAAACTACATGAAATATGGAGCTCAAAAAAATATGCATACGCCACCCGAGCTGTTTTATGTCCACCCTGCAAAGTGACTGAGGTGAAACCATTTAACGAAGCCAACTAACACCAAGAACAGTTGTATACCGATTTAATTTCAGTCCAGAGCAATGAGGTTCCTATATTAACGTGAAGGATGGAGACATGGAGACGCTGAAACTTACAGAAGTTCAGAGTCATGCCATTTATGACTGAGAAATAAAAATAACAGACATGTTCAATGAGTTCCCTGAGGAAACAGTCATAGAAAAAAGGATATTAGTAAGTCTTTCATATATATATATATATATTTTATGCAGAACTCTTAGGTCATAACAATATCAACTAGAAAATCCCAGGAAGATCATACATATCGACTCACAAAGGCTAAAGGCATTTAGAAATTCCAAGCCAGAATGATTATTTTTCTTTTACAAGTAGGAAAAGCAACTGAGTGGTGAGAACGGAACAAATGGCCATTTCTGTGTTCTTTCTTTCTTTGCTTCTCCAGATCTCTTGGTCTGTTTCTGTAACGTGTCAACGATATGCCTTTCTGAACACAAAGGGTTCTCCTCCATCCTTTGGTATCAAGGTTTCTGTGAGGAGCATTTCATTCTGTTTGGGCGACTCACATTTACACAGGAAGAGCCCACTTGGTCTCTTGTGTCAAATAGATGTTGAGCATCCTTTACTGAGATAGGAATCCCAGGAAAGAGGGAACCAGATATTAAGAATCTAAAGGCTGCTACAACAGGAAATGGTGGGGCAACTCATTATTTGTAGGCAAGAGTATAAAGTGATGAAATATAGGCCACAATAAACATTACCTCCAGAATCCTTATATCTGTGATGCTTCCTTTAGATGCCAATACCCTAAGTACAAACTGGTACTTTTGTAGTCAAGCAGATGGGTTCTCTTAAAAACAAGACAAAATAAAACAAACCAAAACAAAAAACACTGGAGGAGGTGAGAGAAGCATCATAATCTTGGGGGGCATTCTTACAGCCATCATCCAATTATTCAGGTCCTCCTTTTGAAGCGCCACCAGATGGAGCCAATACCAAAAGCCATTCAACATGATTTTTATACAGATGGGGGTGTCTACACACAAGTGTCTCATTACCTGCTCTTTAAAGAGTTATTTTCACTTTTGTAGTGGTTAGCATAAAATTTACTTATGGAGACACCGGTATCTACGTGCTCGTACAAATCCAGCAAGCAAATCTTCCAAAATTAAAAAGCAATAACAGCTTTTGAAACAAACAAAAAAAACCCCACCAAACTTGAATACAGAGCGTGAAGGAAGAAATGAAAAATCATCTCTGGTCTCATCATCCAGAGAAAACCACTGTTAATATTCTGGCATATAACATTCTATTTTTTAAAAAATTTAACAGACCATGGTTCCCTTTCTGGATCATTAAATATTCGCTACTGACATTTTTAATGGCCTTCTGATTTTTATATCATGCTTAGCAACTTTCCCAAGCCAAGATTACATAAATATTCATGTGTATTTTCCTTAAGTACTTTTATGGTCTCAAGTTTCACATTTACATTCTGAATAGACATGGAATTTATTTTGGCCTATGATATAAAGGACGGTTCTAATTTTAGTTATTCCAAATGTTAGTGGAAATTTTTGGCTCCCCAGCATTCGGACACCTTCCTATCTGACTTGATGCACAAGGGCCCTGCCTCTCACCACAGTACCGAAAGTGGGCAGATATCCCTTTCCCAACACCCAGGGTAAGATGCAGGCCTGTGACCTAGGCTCTGCCTTTGGATGCTCTTGCCCGGGTCTCAGAGTCTTAAGGGAGTGAGTGAAACATGCAGGGATCATTAGAAGTTGGTCATGGTGGCAGCGGTGGGATCTAGCAGATGCTTCAGGAGCACAGCAGTATCCTAACCATCCTAGTCCAGTGGCTCAAGGGAGGATCTATTCCTAGTTTCTTCACATCTTTTGGATGCTGTCACCTTCTGAGCTTGGTTCCCCACTGACTGTGAGAGCTGCCCAATGTGATTTCTGTAAATCTGTCTCTGCTTAAACTTGCCAGAATTATTTTCTGCTATTTTCAACCACAATTGCTGACTGATAAAATTAGCTAGGTGTTGAACACCATAATTTCATAGATAATCTATACTTTTCCCACTGAGGAATCACTAATTTTACTCTCTCTCTGACTTTCCAAATACATGCATTTAAAGTGTCTTCAAGGTTTTTTTTTGGGGGGGGGGCAGGTCCTGTCCCCATGATAGTTTCACAGTCTTCATTATTTAAATACATATATAATATGTATTACTATCTGTAGAATAATTTCTCCTCTCCTTTTTCTCAAAATTTTCTTAAATTCTGTCATGCATTCGTTCTTTCCATTATAATTTTGAATTATAATGGCATGAAGAAACTAGATCTTCATTCATGGCATGAAGAAACTAGATCTTAAAAATTTAGTCATTTATTGAGATAGCCTCATCCACCAGAGGGCAGACAGCAGAAGCAAGAAGAACTACAATCCAGCAGCCTGTGGAAAGAAAACCACATTGACAGAAAGACAGACAAAATGAAAAGACAGAGGGCTACGTACCAGATGAAGGAACAAGATAAAACCCCAGAAAAACAATTAAACGAAGTGGAGAAAAACAACCTTCCAGAAAAATGGTTCAGAATAATGATAGTAAAGATGATCCAGGACCTAGGGAAAAGAATGGAGGCAAAGATGGAGAAAATGAAAGAAAGGTTTAACAAAGACCTAGAAGAATTAAAGAACGAACAAAGAGAGATGAACAATACAATAACTGAAATGAAAGATACACTAGAAGGAATCAATAGCAGAAAAACTGAGGCAGAAGAATGGATAAGTGTCCTGGAAGACAGAATGGTGGAATACACTGCCGCAGAACAGAAAAAGGAAAAATAATGAAAAGAAATGAAGACAGCCTAAGAAACCTCTGGGACAATATTAAAGGCACCAACATTCACATTGTAGGGGTCCCAGAAGGAGAAGAGAGAGAGAAAGGACCAGAGAAAATATATGAAGAGATGATAGTTGAAAACATCACTAACATGGGAAAGGAAATAGCCACCCAAGTCCAGGAAGTGCAGAGTCCCAGGCAGGATAAAGCCAAGGAGAAATACAACGAGACATATAGTAATCAAATTGACAAAAATTAAAGACAAAGAAAAATTATTAAAAGTAACAAGGGAAAAACAACAAATAACATATAAGGGAACTCCCATAACGTTAACAGCTGATTTCTCAGCAGAAATTCTGCAAGCCAGAAGGGAGTGGCATGATATATTTAAAGTGATGAAAGGGAAGAACCTACAACCAAGATTACTCTCCCCAGCAAGGATCTCATTCAGGTTCAACAGAGAAATCAAAAGCTTTACAGACAAGCAAAAGCTAAGAGAACTCAGCACCACCAAACCAGCTCTACAACAAATGCTAAAGGAACTTTTCTAAGTGGGAAACACAAGAGAAGAAAAGGACCTACAAAAACTAACCCAAAACATTTAAGAAAATGGTAGCAGGAATATACATATCGATAATTACCTTAAATGTGAATGAATTAAATGCTCCAACCAAAAGACACAGGCTCACTGAATGGATACAAAAACAAAACCCATATATATGCTGTCTATAAGACACCCACTTCGGACCTAGGGACAAATACAGACTGAAAGTGAGGGGATGGAAAAGATATTCCACGCAAATAGAAATGAAAAGAAAGCTGGAATAGCAATACTCATATCAGATAAAATAGACTTTAAAATAAAGAATGTTACAAGAGACAAGGAAGGACACTACTAATGATCAAAGGATCAATTCAAGAAGAGGATAAGACAATTATAAATATATATGCACCCAACATAGGAGCACCTCAATACATAAGGCAACTGCTAACAGCTATAAAAGAGGAAGTCGACAGTAACACAATAATAGTGGGGGACTTTAACACCTCACTTACACCAACAGACAGATAATTCAGACAGAAAATTAATAAGGAAACACAAGCTTTAAATGACACAATGGACCAGATAGATTTAACTGATATTTATAGGACATTCCATCCAAAAACAGCAGATTACACTTTCTTCTCAAGTGCACATGTAACATTCTCTAGGAGAATGTACACACATCTTGGGTCACAAATCAAGCCTCAGTAAACTGAAGAAAACTGAAATCATATCAAGTATCTTTTCTGACCACAGCGCTATGAGGTTAGAAATCAATTACAGGGAAAAATAACATAAAAAACACAAACACATGGAGGCTAAACAATACGTTACTAAATAACCAAGAGATCACTAAAGAAATCAAAGAGGAAATAAAAAATACCTAGAGACAAATGACAATGAAAACACGATGACCCAAAACCTATGGGATGCAGCAAAAGCAGTTCTAAGAGGGAAGTTTATAGCAATACAATCCTACCTCAAGAAAGAAGGAAAATCTCAAATAAACAATCTAACCTTACATCTAAAGGAACTAGAGAAAGAAGAACAAACAAAACCCAAAGTTAGTAGAAGGAAAGAATCATA